TTCTGCCAATACGGCTTTCCAAAAATATCTCCTTCTTCCGACTCCCAACTCTTTCGTCAACTCGAACGTCGGCTTCTACAAAGTAAATGCACTTTGTATGGAATTCACGGATACCAAAATGCTCTGAATTATTCATGAATTCCCTATTGAATTTAAATAAAGTACTGTAGTCCTCTTGAAATAAACTACTGCACAAGGTGAAACGTATCGGTGAATAATATCGTGGATTACATAGCTGAAGTTTCTCGGGTCCAAATAACATGGATCATGTGTAATAAACCAACAATTCAATTCAGTAAAATGCTCAACCATTTTAAAGAAAAAGATATTGGTTCAATTAGTTCCTGATAATTTCCCCAAGGAAAGCGAAGACTATTGACTCCTGTCATAATTTATTTAATTTTAAAAATTCAGAGAAAGATACATTTAAAATTTGAACTTTTAAAATTGACAAAGCTATTACGCAAACCGTTCGCTCGGCTATAATTACATCAGCTAGATAAATAAATGAATGAATGTACAGGCCGGCATTTTTGCATGAAGTGCAGTTTAAAGAAAGATTTAAAAGAAAATCAAGTTCTCTGTTGATCGATTGAGAAATATTTTTTTTTAAATTGAAAAGTATTGAAGCAAAAAGGAGCCTCACATATTCTCAGTCGACATACTTGACTACATAAATCATAAACAACTAAAACATATCCCCAATAATCAAGTTGTCCAGTTTAGAATTTAAATAGCTGCTGTCACTGATCAGTAATTTTCTGCGAGATTTTCGTTTCTGATCTTCACATCAGTTAAAAATTCCACTGCATCCAAAAACGCACAGTCTCTCACTCTCTCTGTACAGAATCTATAGATTGGTTCTTTATATAAAATATCACTAGATAATCAATTCAAAAAGCGCTACCTTTCTTGAAAATAACCACGGAAATGTCAGGAGGAAGGCTTTCTTGTAAGTCTCACTCGAAAACCCGTAAATCAGTGGATTCAGGGCGCAGCTGCTGAAGCTGAAAAGGTGTGCCACAAACCAGCAAATCTTCAGAAGGTCTTTTACCTGAAATGAACAATAAGATTAATCTACATATTTTTACGAGAATATACGGGATTGCTGATATGCTCTTTCGAAAATGCATATCATTTTCTGGAAGAATGTTGTCTCAGTTCTTGGCTCATCCTCAATGTTGTGTATATATATGCACATGACCAGGAAGGAATTAAATTCAGTACTCGTTTCGAAATTCAAAATGATGGTTTTCGACGCACACATCACAAAATAGGGAGAATATTGCCAAGAAAGGATAGGGATGGATTTTAGCATTTGAACGGATCTCCATGGCGTTACATGCTCACGAGGATCTTTAAAAAAAAAATAAAAAGGAACTCACGCTGTTCCTTTGCGGTGGCACGCCGAAATACCTCATGAGGATCAGGATCTGAAAGGGGATCCAAGTGAGTGTGAAGACCCAGAAGACCGTGAAGAGCATCTTGATCACGCGGTGCTTCCGTCTAGCCCTTTCAACAGCGTGTTTTCGTTGGAGGCTGTCACCGGCTTCCACCAAGATGATCAGCGGAGAAAAGCAGCGCAAAATAAAGATACCCAATGAACCCTCCGTTTTTTAAAAGCACAGCAGAGGATTCTTTCTTTGTTTGTGGTTATTTTTTGTTTACCCTCAAGGAGGAACAAATCAATAAGCACGGGGTCTTTTTTAAATCACCCAGAATGAGTTTTTTTTTTTAATTCATTCCGTTTGTACAGATATAGGCCTTGAAATGCGGACGTGTAATTGGTGCTTGGACCTTTTTGTCCCTAGATGCTGGAGTATCCACATGTCTGATCACTTTTCCCCCATTACGACTTTAATTTGAAACTTACCTAATTGGGACTCCAGCTTATCAAAAATCAGGAATGCGTTGTCAAAACAATAAAGTGTTTCTGAAATAACTGTGCAGAAGAAAACCGCACAAAATCTGATTGTTTGGCATCGAAAAGAGCACCAAAATAACAAGTCTAGCTGTACTTTACAGTTATGATGGGAAAAGCTCTGGAAAAATGAAAAAATTGCTGCAATATTCTTGTTACTGATATTTTGTTTTCAATGTCAGGGAAAGAATGGGTGTTTGCATCCATATCAGTTGTGCAGTTACACTTTGTGGAATGAATTTTCTTTTATTTTTGTTATCCCTACGCATCTAAATTCTTTATTTCCCTCGTCTGCTGAAGTGAAAGGATGTCTCTGAATGGATTTGGGTTGGGTGGGGATGAAGGGGTTTGGATGTGGGAATGTTGGTTGAACATTGTGAATGCTGAAAAGCGGAAAATAAAGCTTTCTGTTCATTCATTCATTCATTCAAGACCAAAATTAGCCTGTTTTGATGAAAAATTTGAGTAAACTTATAGAAAATCTATTTTTAATATTTGTGAATGTGAAGTAGCTCAATTTCTTCAGGATCTATCCACAGTTTTGAAAAATAAATGATGGATACGTGTCCATTTCTACATGGGGCAGATTTGTTGCTTTTTAATTTCCCCTAACTTGAATCGCCTGTATGCCGGGGCGTCCCAGTGTCGGAGTCTCACTGTTTATGTACATTTTGTAAATTTTAAACAAATGCATAATATAATCACCGTATTTCCCGTAGTTCTTCTCGTTTTGCCGCAGCACGCAAAAGATTCTCAAATATGCGATGAGCATGAGCAAAGTGGGTAGCCAAATGAAAAACACCAAAAGGCAAAGCCAGTACTTCCTCATGTCAAATTCTTCGTCACAGTTGATTTCTTCGAAGTCCTTCCATTTCCTCACCTGGACCAGAAAATTGAAAAGAGTTTCCTCAAGTACCAGCATTTCTCTCAAAAAACGCATCTATCAGAAAATACGAGTTTGCCTTGAAAATTTGTCAATGCAAACACAAACACATCGAGTTATTCATCGTCTGTCTGTTACATTAAATAAATTATGCATCTCCGAAAAATTGTGTCTTATAGCTGATCCGCTCCGAAGAATTGCGAAGAGTTTCCTTAAATACTTGCATTCCTTTTTTAAAATATCATCGCTTGGAAAATATGCGCCACGAAAACGACGGCTCCATCGATTCATCTCTTTCAATAATAAGCTATTTTTGTGATACTTGACGAATATTGTAGAGAAATGCACATGCAATATTAAAAATACTGGGTCTCGACCATTTCCGCAATTTTACGACAAAAAAAAAATGGTAATCATCTACTGTCTATTCATACGAATGCCGGAAGGAACGTTTCCGAAAAACACGAAAAAAAGCGAGGCTGTGAGATATTGCGAATGCATCCGGTGCATGTAGTTTACCGTGTAGTTGCGGAACAGCATGAGGGGTGCTGACAAGCAAATGGCAGCTATCCAGATCGCTGCCAAGAGCCCGACGGCAGTTCTAGCTCCCATTTTCTGCCAAGGTCTGGCGATCCCCAATAGTCTGTCCACACTGATGACGCTCAACGTAAGGGCACTCGCTTGCCTGAACACATCTGTAAAGAAATACCCTTATTTCAGGTTATCCGAGCGAGGTTCCAGAACTTCTGCCGCTTATTGAAAAAAAAACCAAATTACTGTGGGACCCCGAGATGCGGACATCATTGGTGCTTATAATTTTTTCCTATGTTGATACGACATCCGCATGTTAGATCGCAATTTAAATGGAAATACTGTACATTTGCTTGGTTCTTTATGTTCGAATCAAAGATTAGGGAAAAATTCCCTAAAAAATATGATAAAATAAATTTTCCCAACTTCATGAAATAACAGGAAATAACTGTACAGAAGAAAGACGCACCGAATCTTTTCTCTCGGCATTTCCTGCACTGTGCATGAGTGATGAAAAACTCTGAGAAAAGCAAAAAATGAGCTTGTTTTGGGTTATGAATAATATTGAATTTGTAGTACAATTATTATTAAGCCTTATTTTGTGAACATAAAAGCTGAATTCTTTTCAAGATATTATTGTCTATTAATTTTTTTTAATTATCCCCATTTGACCACCAATCTTTGTGAATTGTCTGTATCTCTGTAGACGTTGTCCAGATGTCGCCGATGTCTGGGTCGATTATTTTAGTTTCAAGTGTCCTCAAGTCAGATCGTCCGACTTTCAGGGCGTCCGCACGTCGGAGCCCATTACAGTACTCTACAATAATAAATTAAAAATTGAAAATAAAAGGCAAGAGAAGACCAACTTACGGTACACTGATGCGGACAAATAACACCAGATCTCCCCTAATGGATAAGCTTGGTAGAAGTCGCTGTACAGGAATGGCACAGGACAGAACATCAGGTATAATAAGTCAGCAATGCTCAGGTTCAATATGAAAATGTTCGTTGATGATCGCTGTTGAAACATGAAAATACCTGATAACTCTTTTCTCCGGCGAAAGTGAGCAAACACCAAAATTATTGTTCTGTCGTGGATCAGGATTTCGCAAGAAATTAAACTGATGCTCATTGAAACTCACTGTCAAACAGAGGTGAAATGCAAATAATAATGTAATGTCGCTTTTTGGCTTATCAAGCGTTCAATTGGTTCAGTATAAAAAACCGTTATATGCTTTTAATGAATTTTTAAATACTGTACTTCGTGAAGGAGAGATTTAGAAAAAAGTTTCAAGCTAACTCTTTTTCAGGCGTGCATACAAGCAGTGGAATTATTAATTTGTCTTGGATCATGATTTCTCTGGAAATTAAACTGACGTGCATGAAAAATTACTGAAAATCTTTGAAAAATGGATTTGAACATAAATTGGCAAAATGTCCAGAATACCGTACCGCAAAAAAACTGTTGGCTTAGAACACGTTGAAAGATGGTTCCGTAAAGTTTCTGCATGTATGCTCAAAATTTATTTTGAAATACTGAGTTATTTCTAGAAAAGATGTGAGACAATATTTGGAAGAAAAATCACCATGAGTGGCTTGTTGTACATGAGGACCGTGATCATGGCGGCATTTCCCAAGAGCCCAATCAACATGATCAAAGCAGTACCCGCTGATTTTATCCCAACTTCCATGTCCGACTTCCTGACCCATAAATCTTGAAATGAAGAAAAGTTGAAGAATTCCGGATTGACGGCTCGCCGATCATTCCCATCGTCATCATCGATCAGCCTGAATTCATTTTCCGACGTAGGAGAGTGTAAAAAATCACTCAACTCCATCACTGTCTCAAAACACCGCTGCCAAACTTTACTGGAGGCATTTATGAAGTCACGGATCGAAGCTCGTCTATACACGAAAGATACTAGGGCCCTTTTTCCTTTCTGACGACTGAAGGAGACCACATGCAGAGATGGTTTTTCTACGAAGACCTTTTGAATGAGATAGTAGTGACACTGGAACACGATTTGTTGTGTGACATGGGGCTTCCTTATCGCCTGCTCCCGGCGAATCTGACGTGTCAGAGTGAGATTCGACTTTTCCCTCGCTCAAGGATTCACAGTTTTTCTTTTATCCAAATAAATCTCAAACAAATAACGTGGATCAACCGAATATATTTACAAATAATTGTAGATATTTTGTTATAGAATCACACTATTTTTCGGCAGGTACATTCCTAGAGATTCGGTACTACAATTCAAATGAATTGCTCGAATAATGGGGAAAAACAATACTTTTAAGCAGGGCAAAAAATCTGATTGCTCATAAGTGATAAAAGTGACACTTGAATCGAAAGAATTTGGGGGATGGGCTTGATGGAGGACGATGTACCAGTTGGAAATGAAAATACAAATTATAATTTTGTAGAATTGTTTGAGAATAATTATGGACAGGACATTTACATTAGCCTTTTTGTTTGAGGTGATTGAGCTTTTCTTTAGTTTTTGGCAAGACTTGGTAGCGTGTGATCAAAATTATTACATATTTATGAGATTTCAGACTTTTCACTTGATAATTCAAAATTCGGAGTCTGCCGTTTAAGGACACAATAAAATAAATATGCAGACAGGTGATTCTCAAAATTTTTCGAATTAAGTTCGGCAATTTTTTGAAATTCTCACAGCATCTGTTGGGGACTCGCTGCGCATCCCTCGAAATATAAAATTAAAATTAATATAAATCGAGCGGAAAAAACCGCTCAAGAAGAAAGTAGAGCATCCGCCAACGAACTTTCACTCTAACGATTCACCCCCTCCGAAAAATCAAAATCTTGGCGCCAAGACGTCTTATGTTTTTCATTTGGGACATTCTGAAATATATTTAAAACTTTAACTTGAGGAATCTCACCGAGGATTCCCGGCCCCAGTCCCGGGCTGAGTCCGTGTTTCATTTTCAACTTCAAAATCTTTCTACAAATTTCTTCAAATTTGTTGTGGCGACCTTTGTCCCCAACAACATCAATCGGAAAAAATTATTGCAGAAAAATTATTGCAGAAAAATTATTACCACCTCAAAGGTGATGATGTTCTTTTCGAATGTTTTTTTCGATTAGAAAAATTGAGTCAAATTTCGTAAAAACCTCAAAATTGACTAATATGAATGAACCACTTCCGGGAAAATGGATAGACAGTCACCAAGAGAAATTATTTTGCATCGAAACTTCGCGTTATGAACAAGAGAGGCTATTACAAGGCTGAATCATATTATGAACGAGACACAGAAAATCCCGATTATTTATCCCTTGAATCACACTCAAACTCACTTCATATCTTCACGATCTATCATCGATTAAATAAAATAAATAAAATGAAAATTACGAATCGGCAAGCTGATCATCACGGAATTTCGGAGGAAGCAGTCGAAGTTCAGATTTCACCAGAAGTACCGAAATTTACGTTTTAGCTGAAGCTTTCGGAATTTTCAATTTAATATGAACGGGAGCTTTTCCGAATGCATTATCAGTATCTTTGACGTATTATTTGCATCCTTCTTGAATGAAATTGAACTTGTCCGTCGTCAGTTGAAATATTATCCACCTCCCTCAAACTTACAATAATAGTTTTTATATTCAGATTCGAATATGTATTTCTTATTGATAGGTGATATGGAACGTTTGGAAATATTCAAAAAATACCAGTAGATTTCTTGTAGATACACGTAGAAAGCAGCAGTCCATCCCCAGGTATAATAAGTAAAAGGGAAAAGCTCTCTCGTTTTCCTGTATATTTAATCCCTTGCTGACGTCTGATCTTATCGATTATTTCGAATGAGATTTCTTCGAAAAAACGAGGAGAAACAGAAGAAACAGAATCTTGGAAATCTCAAAGGAAATCTTTCTGGAAATTTTTTTTCTCCATAATTTCGTCAGAAAAACACTACAGACAATTTTTCAATGCGGATTTCTTGTTTCGAAAAAAAAATCAGGTCTCAAGTATAAATGTGCAAAAAATCCGTCATACGCATGATCGTCAAGATATTTTCCGTATTTTTTAATGTGAATATAATGGCCTGAATACTTAGGTTCAAAAGAAAGAGCACATGCACACCTGTAAAAATCTCATGATTATTTTGCGGTTAAATTCATATTTTTTAAATTTAAAATGAGTTTAATCGATGGTAAAAGTATCAGCTGCTATGTAGACATTTTTATCAGCATTTAACTGGCGTGCTTCAAAACTGTTCTGATCACTTTTATTTGACTCAGCAGTCATGTTTTCCAAGGAACACGAGTTGCAAGAAGCATAATCACCGCTGAAAGTGAAAACTTCCAAGAACTTTTGATCATATCCGTCTCGGCTCCTAAGCAAACATATACAGACTAGATCTCTTGACTTTCCCTGAACTGAAAACGTTGAGAAGGAATGTTTCTCTTTCGGAAAGAGATAAATGAGCGGACATTTTTTTTATCCCCTCGCATGTTCCAATGGAAGATCGTCCGACTGATAAAATGCCACAGGAAAGTAAAACCCAACGGCCCTGGTTTTCAGCGGGTTCTGGTCCAAGTTTCGATCCCAGCTTATTTCAAAATGGTACCTAGAAAAGAATCCCTTGTTCACATTAGTGAAGTTTTAAGGACAAAAAAAGGAAAAATGTGAGCTTTTTCAAGTTTTATCATCTCTTTTTTTTCTCTACCTAGAAATACACGTCTTTGTGCGGAGTTCTCTGTCACAGACCCTGACAAATTGCGAGTCGTCATCCCTTTGTTCTTTCTCTTTTCCTTGTCAGTCTCCAGTGTTGTATGGTCACTCGTCATCTTTTCTTGTTGCAGGTATTCCGCCACAGTAAGGTTCTCTTCCCAAATCCAGAAGGGAACAAGATCTGAACCAAAGTGTAATGTATACTTTGCCCGAGTTTTCAAGAAAGATATTCGCATCTTTCTCCATCTGGAAACTGCTGTCGTTGATTATTTTGATTATCATATTTACTAAAATATTTTACACGATCATTTTGTTACCAGTATTGCAAAAGGTCTTGAAATTTCCATGTAAAACCATAAGAGCATTTTTTAATAATTTCATTGGCGCTGATTACGCAGCACGAAGCAACCTTTCGTCACTGAGAAGTGAGAAGTTAAATTTGGGAAACATGTTTTCATGTCATAAATATACAAAGTGCCATGCAAACCTTCAAGTTCAGAAATCAGGACTTGAAATTCGGATTCTCATGATACACTGTCGTCGTATGCTTTCCTGGAAATTTTTGAAATTTTTCTTTATGCAATATAGTTGAATCCGTAACCCCGTAACATCCACAAAATTAAATCAAGAAGTAAGGCACACTGTATAAAATTGAATGAAATTTAAATATTCGAATAATATTTTCAACCTCAGACTATTTCTGAAATTCCAGCAAAAAACTACTAAAATATGTGATTCTTTTATTCCTTTATGAGGCAACACATTAAAGCGGGAGTTTTAAACCCTTCTTCGTAATTTTCGAAACTTTTATTCCACATTTTAGGGACTTCATTCTTAAATTTTGATTTCGTACAGAAACTAAAAGCAAGGAGATTTTCATGCGAGGCGTCATTATTTACGAAAAGCCATCGTATGCGTCGTCGCTATGAAATACAGGACGCATTTTAATTTTCCGACTCAATGCTTTTATAACCGAGGCTTTTAATTTTAACTCAAGTGTCGAAAATTTAGATGAGGGGTGTTTAGAAACACGAGATTTGCTAGGAATCGGCAAAAGACCGATAATCCTGAAGGAATCTCGTGGGACGAGGGATGACCTCGAGTTCCCACGATCTTCCTCCCAGAAAACGCGTCCTCTAAATTCGTTACGCTAAAAAGACCTTGCGATCCAAGGATATTCCTCGAATAAATTCAAAGGATTACTTTCCGGAA